ATTTCTATGGCGTCATACAATTCCTCAGTGTGAACACTATAGATACAGATTCGAAAAACAGCCAGGGTGAAATCAGGAGTGGAATAAAGCACATTTGTTGAACACACTCCTGATGAAATTAGTACCCAGTACAGACTGCAAAGGTGCAGAGATGTTCGAGGCTAGCTGGATCACCGAGCGAAGAGGGTGGCTGGGGAGATGCATCGGGACCGACGGGTTACTAATCCTATGGCCCTACAAAACAAATGTGTATAGTAAATCTCAATTCACAATTTCGCGATGTCAATTAAGTATTAATATAATTGCTCTGTAGAATATCAGGAATCACATATATTGTAGGTAACTAGTCGCATACACACGCATAATATAAACGCATGCATGCACACGCGCAGAGCCCATACATGCACGCGCTTACATACGCACGCACGCACACACGCACGCACGCACGCACGCACGCACGCATATCCGGTAATTATTGCCATTATTTCGTCACGAACAGGGATGTTGGAAAACAGTTGATCATGGGAAAATTGGTGGCACGTGAAGCTTTCGACAGTGTCTCCATCTACTTCAGTGACATCGTTCACCGCAGATTGACCAGTGCAGATAGCTGGCTACATTGTTATGTCGGTTTATGTACTCGGTTGGTGCCAGCACTGTGCATCCGGCGATGATATGGCTGATGGTCTCCTCTGCCTTGATGCACATTCTGCACTTGCCGTTGACCTGTTGCTTGAGGATGTTGCGCTGATGGTATCTGGTGTTGAGTGCTTGGTCTTGGGCTGCAATGGTCAGGCTTTCTGTTTACCCCTTGAACCCGGAACTACTCAGCCAGGCAACGCTTGCAATCTTATCGACAAATGGCCTGTCGAGGCTCTTGTAGAATCTTCATGTAAAAGCTTGTTCTTCAATACCTCGATCTTCTCTGCTTCCATATTGGCCTTCAGTCTGGAGACGCCAGAGACGATCGGAGACGCCTATATGGTTGTTTCGGGTCTTCCCATTCGAACTGACAAGCTCGGAGCGGAGATAGCGCTGATGGCGTTAACCCTGCTCAACGCGACACGTTTAAGATTTGTCACCAACCGAACACGAAGCTAAGAATCAGTGGCGTACATACGGGTGAGTACGGAATGCAATGCAGAGTTTTTTCTACACGTTGCAAATGTGGGATAAAACGGAGCTTAAGTCTATACGACGTAAAGTGAAAGAATTGTTGGTAACATCGTAAAACATCCGTCGTAAAGCATTTGTCTCGAGGTTTATTGTAGTTAATAACATTTATTGTAGGTTGTTGCCAACACCATTGTTCAGAGAACCAATGTTCACAGACGTAGGTACATGCGCATAACATGCGCACGAACTCGTTTTTAAATGAATATATTTTTTATTGACGATACTCGATCAACATAACATATTATGTGTTATGATGATCGAGTGTGGTAAATAAAAATATATTACGGTAAATACGTGACAAAAAAATGTAATATATATATATATATATATATATATATATATATATATATATATAT